ATGAATGTTGCGTAGTGAGTTCGTGGTACCCGCCCTACTCCAATCATACAGAAGATGTCGGAGCTTCTTCAAACGCTCCCAAAGCTTGAACATCGGCGACCCAGAGATTTCTTCAAGCCAATCCTATTATGCTTCTCCCAAATGATTGCAAATTGATTCTACAAGTATGAGAGAATGCAACAATTTTGTAATGAAACAATTAAGTTTCAATGTTAGAAGTGAATGACCAAAAATCATTGCACTGAGAGATGTGAATCATAAGTCTAAAACTGAAAGACTAAATATCTTTGGCCAAGAACTCAAACTTATTGACTACTGTTTAAATTTAAGAATCAGTGATGTATATATACAAGAAATCTATGGTATTGCCTGTGAATTTGGGTATATTGCGCATCGTTAGTGAAATAACAGACAATGAATTAATAAGAATTTGGAGTATGATACATGCTATACTTTAGCTCAAGTGCCTAAACCTTATATCCAAATTCTCCAAACCCTAATATGGCGCATATGGTACGTTGGATAAATCTCGATGAATCAGAAGTCATCGATCATTGTTATGCTCTGTTTCATGTTAGAAATTATGCTCTATAATTAAATGATCTGAGTTTAGGATCTAGAATTCACTCATTCGAGAATTACCGTCTAAGGTTTGGATAACTAGAGTCTAGTATTATAGGTACACAATGATCTATTATCTTGACTTAGAACCCTGAATGTTTTAAGTCAATTAAAAATAATGTTTGTGGTTAGACCCAGGGGCGGACCTAGGTTAAGGCAGATGTATCAAGCAACACACCTCGGCCTAGGATTTTGGTGCAAAATCATATTTCGTCATTGTAAGAATTTAAAACTAGAATCTCTCACACACCTCCATAAGTTGTAATTGACACATTTGTTGTAATTACAAGTCGTCAAATGAATTTTTTTTTTTTACTATAAAGTTGATAACAATGATAATGCAAATCATATTCGTGACGAATTTATCCATGATTTTGGTGGAAAAAAAGATAAATGCATTTCACAAACCTCTCATAATGGACAAATGTTTTATTGCGTAAAAAATAATGAAATCGTGCCGTCTATGAATTATTTTATTATATTTATGAATTATTTTATTTTTATAGACTTACACAACTTTCTGAAAATCCTGAGTCCGCTCCCGCTTATATTACAATTTGAGTGTTCTAATTCACAAATCTTGACACAATATCACACAACGAGACTTACACACCTTCATTGAGGATATGAGTTAAAATTACATAATTGAACTACAAGTAGGTAGATTGTTGCGTTGAAAAATTTCAAGACTATTTTGTAATAATTGTTGGCAAGGGTCAATATTTCTTTGTTGACTAAATGAATATTTAACACAAAGTATATGTATAGTTTACATCAAATAATAAAAATCGTCTACTTAGTGCTCGGTGTTTGGTTAAGAAACTATCGGAGCTGGGAAACTAGACCAAACCGTATGGGAAACCGCTGTCTAGATCGTTTCGTATGGTTTTGTCTGGACCGTGAGACCAGAACTATGGTCTGGTTTGATCTAGTTTGTGGTCTCCTCTTTTAGTGTGTGGTCTGAAGTAGTCTGGACCGCGGTCTACCGCAGTAAACCGTAACAGACCGCGATTTTTAAACCTACTAACTAAGACAAAAATAATACTAAATTGAACCATTATTTGTGTATTTGAAAAACCAAATTAGTTGATTCTTCATCTAGTTGAGAGCCAACAAATTGCCAAATGACCGCTTATGTGTTATCTCCTTATCAAAGAACTACACAAAAACCAGAAAGACTCATAAATAATATTCACAAACAATGTCTAGACTATGTAGTCGATAAAAATTAAACACTAGAAAAAAATTTGTTCACCTTGATGAGATAAGGAAAATTATTGAGAGATATGCGACCATCTTAGTAGTTCAAAATTACCTCGACGTCATCACAAAGGTTATCAATTGGGAGAACCTTCGGATCACTCGAGAGAGGAGAGATGCGGTAGCACAAAGAGGAATAGGGAAACAAGGCTATTTGATATGTGTGTTTGAAAATTGAAAAAAACCCACTTCTATCCTCATATTTCTTCTCATTTAATTACAATCATTTTTTTTTTGTTTCACTAGCATATTGGTCACTAGAATTTTTATTTTTATAGATATCGGCGAAGGATTGGAGGGCGCACAAGAGTTCATTTTTCTTAACATGGTATGTTTGGTCTAGACCATATCGGATCGCACCGCACAAGTATGATCTGGTCTGGACCAAATAGTATATTGTCTGATCCATGGTCTGGAACCTTGAATGCAAAATTAATGCAAATTTAAAGAGACATTCATTTGTTATTGGATATATGGATGGGAAATGGTGCGTTACGGTCCAGACCATATTATAGATATGGTTTGTGGTCCAAATTTAAAGGGACCACGAACATTTTCAAAAAGAATGAAACAAAATAAAAGGAAATAGAAGACATTATAATGTAAGCAATGTCATCAATTAATTAACATAAATATTAATCGACCAGATAAAAATAAGATATCAAAGGCCAGCGCCTTTATTAAAAAAACTGAAAGCACAACATGGTGTGTGGCTGCTGCTATATAGGCACAACATTCAATTACTAACAATTCATGCTTCCCCAATCCTGGCATTCATGTTATTCAAGTAATACCCCCTCGATTTTCTCCATTCAATTCTCCGACATAATTGTCAATAAACATTTTCCCAACTCCACAGAAACAATCATATGGTTCTGCTCCTCCGCAGTCATCGCATGTAACTGAATGTGCTGAGACTCCAAGACACATAATATAGCAACCTATAAAAAGATTAAATATGGGTAGTGTTTGCCCAATACACACATTGAATATAGGTAGCGTTAGACATAAGTCGAGCATTGAGGATTTGTCTAATGCCGAGCATGTTTAGGCATTGTATAAGTGTGTCTAAGCGTTGGGTGTAAACATAAAAAAAAATATCCCATACTTGCGTAGAGGCTAAATTACACGTTTGGTCACTCAATTTATATAAACTTTCACGTTTGACATCCAAATTACTTTTCTTTCTTATTCGCCACTAACCTTACGAATCGTTTCACCGTTAGTCACCGGCATTTAGTCTCTATTTAACTCCGTTAACTCCGACAGTTATTACGTGGCAAATGAAACTGGTGACTAGACTTTTAATTTAATAACATGTCAATTTTAAAAAATAAAAAATGAACTAATTAGACAAAAATCAGGCGAGTTGCCAATGGATACGTCTGTTGCTGCCTCGCCGGAGCTCTGTGCCTAATGGATACGGCGGCAAACGGCGGGAGGGAGCAGCTACGGCTGGGATCTGTTTCTCTGATTCTAGACGGGAGAAATCGCTCCCTTCTCCCTCCAATCGAAATCCTAAGGCAAATTGTTGTTCGGGAGGATCGGCGCCCTGTTGGCATCGCTGGGATGCCTAGGCTCCGTGAGCCCCGAAATTGCGTCGTGAGAAACGATGGGGTCGAGCAATTGGTGGGGAGCGGGGCCTGGATATTGGGTTTTTTTGACCTGCCATCAGGGAAAGGAGTGGTATGAGTGGGTGATTTATTTTGGCAAGTTCGGTGAAGAGGTGAAGGAAGAAGAGCAGCCTCTTCAGTTGATAGAGAGAGATGTAGAGCTCTGGTCGCGAATTAGGGAAAGAACTATGGTGGATGATGAAATTGGTGAGGCGGGTCTGGAGCGGCTCCGACCTGAACGGAGGAGGGCGGCGGTCGTCTTTCGTCCGACTGCTGGTCGTGCGAAGAGGAAGGAGAAGAGACAGGTTGCGTTGGGTTTGAGGAGAGAATGAGGTGGAATATTTTTTATTTTTTATTTTTTTAAATTGATATGTCATTAAGTTAACGACCCTGTCAGCAATTATGTTTGCCATGTCATCAAAAATCTGACGGTGTTAACGGAGTTTGACGGACTAACGCCCGGTGACTAACCGTGAAACAATTTGTAAAGTTAGTGGTCAATAAAAAGAAAAGTAATTCGAGTGGCAAACATGAAAATTTTTTGTAATTTGAGTGACCAACTAGAATTACAAGTTTTAACAATAAAAACATAATGTTGCGAAATGAGAAAGGAAGGAGCTAGAAAATAGAGCAGATTGAGAGAAAAGAATGGGAAAAACGACTTTTAAAGATGGTAGTCCCTAACTCTAGCATAGAAGCTAGCAACACTAGGGAGGGGAAGAAGAAAAATGGAGGAGGATCTTGATTTCTCTCTAATCTAGTAACATATCAAAAGGTAGAAAAGAGACATTGTGACATTGTTTTTAGGCGCAACTCAGTGCATACTTAACGCCGTTGCGGCCACATTGTGCTCGAGACATCTTGTCCGCTTCTTATAATCAAGTTGATGTGTTTTTATTCTGTCTAGCGCCTAGACGAGTAGTATGACCACTCGACCATAGCCTCTTTGTAGCCCAACTCTGAGAGTAAAGATGGCACCTAAAATTACTAATGTGGGTTCCAGTTCCTTAATATCGTTTCCGACTTCCATTCAAGTAGGGGCCAACTCAAAGGTGGACCATTTCCATTCCAAGTGCTATGCACATGGCAAATGACCCTAACAAACAGCAGCCGTGCAACAATAAAATTCCTTTCCTACTTCTGGATAGGCAGATGTGCAGGACTCTCTATTTCTGATGGGGGTATTCAGTTCATGCAAGAACAATGCAGCCCCAACAAGTTTTCCCTCCCAGACATCAGCTATGGTGTATACCTAGTGAGACAACCTGTTACAGTTACTACCTCAACAAGCTCTCTGTTGTCCACTGGAAACTAACTCAGGGAGAGTCTTGCCCTCTCAGAATTGGCAAATAGCGAAACAGAATTTTGGCATGCAAAGAACCACACAACTGAAACACCTTCAACAATGTATTATCCAACACAAAACTTTCAAAACCTCGTGGCGTTACATCATCTGAACAAGGTACCTGGGTCTCAAAATTGGGGAATTAGCATGACACATTGCAGATGCAGAGATGGAAGCTGTGCCTTCCCGGACTGATCTTCCTCCGTCTATATATAGGATCCACCATTCTCAAACTACATTTGCATACTCAACCCCAGCTAGCCATGGAGACAACAGCAGCATCAGTGTTGAGGATGGTTAGCTGCATTCTTTTACTCGTGAGCATTATTTGTGTGGCTAGCTCCCAAGTCAGCATGGCTTCAGGGCATGACTCTCCAAAAGACATGGAGGCGAGGTATGGCCGATGGCTGAGCAAGCATGGTAGGAAGTACAGGAGCAAAGCTGAATACAAACACCGGTTTCAGATTTACCAGTCCAACGTTCATTTCATCAACCACATCAACTCTCAGAATCTTTCTTTCCAGCTGACTGACAACAAATTTGCTGACCTCACCAATGATGAGTTCAAATCGACCTACCTTGGTCTTCGCCGTCCTTTGGAGACTGCACACCAGAGGCTGCAGGCCGAGTGCTCTTGTGGACATTTGCCAGCTGAAGTTGATTGGAGGAAGAAAGGTGCTGTCACAAAGGTCAAAGATCAAGGCCCTTGTGGTATGCATGAAGCTTTGTTTCCCTATTAATATTATGATGATTGATTTTCCACATCTTTCAAGTAGCTAGAAGCACGTTATCAAAGAGGTAAACTCCTAATTTTTTGCTGTTTCCTCACTCTACAGGAAGCTGTTGGGCATTCTCTGCTGTGGCAGCCGTGGAAGGCTTCCACCAAATTCAAACAGGCGAACTGCTGACTCTTTCAGAGCAAGAGCTTGTCGATTGTGATGTCGATGGTGAGGACGAGGGCTGCGGTGGAGGGTTCATGGAGACAGCATTTGAATTCATCGCCCAGATTGGGGGACTTACAACTGAGAAGAACTATCCCTACAAGGGTAGAGATGGCGACTGTGACGAAAAGAAACTCAAAGATCATCTTGCAAAGATAAGCGGCTATGAGATTGTATCTCGTAACAACGAGACAGCCCTCCAAGCTGCCGTTGCAAAACAACCCGTCTCTGTTGCAATCGATGCTGGTAGTTATGAATTTCAACTCTATTCTAAAGGCATTTTAACTGGATCCTGTGGATCTGACCTCAACCATGGAGTGGCAGCAGTTGGGTATGCAGTGGAGAAGGGTACCAAGTACTGGATTGTGAAGAACTCATGGGGCGCCAATTGGGGAGAAGATGGGTATATCAGAATGGAACGTGATGTTAAAGAGAAAGGTGGTAAGTGTGGCATTGCCATGCTAGCCAGCTTCCCTCTGTAGGGAAGAAGATATCTACCCCAAGAAGAAGCTCATCTAACATTAAACAAAGCATTTAGTGAACATGCATACGAATTCCAGAAGTAAGCGATTAAAGGACTATACAAGTCCATGTATTACAATAAGTCACTGGAAGTAGCAAGAGAAAAACTGTTAAACGTATTGAGTAAACACTAATATAAGTAAGTTAAAATCTATTTTCTTTCTTTCAATTGGAAACCCCAGGGAAAATATTTCCCTTGGCTCCGAAAAGCAAATTCACAGCCTAACCCCTTACATTCTCATCCGTGTGAGATGCTTCATTTTTTTATGGTGAAATAGGACAGGAAGGGTTTCGCATCGATATAAGTTGATAGTCTTGGTTGGAAAAAAACTCATAGTTTAGGGTCTCCATTGAAGGGCAATTTGATAATTCCACATACACGCTAACAAGCGTTTCACACGGAAAACTAACGAAAAGGACTAGGTTAGAATAAAATGGAAAGTTGAGGTAATGTTGATTACACTCTACAATCAGTGGAACGTATAACAAGAAGAACATAAGTCTTCCCTCACATCGATTTTCAAAGCCTTCTCAGTCAATTCTGCAATGCTACTGCCTACTACCAATAGTTCCATCTAAGTTCGCACAGGATAATGAATAGAAATTCTGAAGCATAAGGGTAGGAAACTTGAGAGAGGTTCTTGCAGAGTATAGCTTTACCTAACATAGAGGGAAGCAATCTATTGATGATGATGACGCCTTCTCTTGGCCTTAAAGCGCCTCTTTAATAAATTGAAGATCACCACCGAAGCAACCAAAAACCCTTGCAGAAGTAGTATCGTCTTCAACCCTGAAAAGGGATTTTACCAAATGTAAGCATGTTTTTAACATTATGTGAGTTCAACTGCAAGCATCACTGCTGCACTAACCAATACTATTGCTCACAGATTTGGTTACCTGTAACCTTGAGCAACAGTTCCTCTAGACCAGCTTGGTGCTTCCATTCTTTTCCTTTTGGGTCTTTGGCTCTTTTAGCATCGAGGTAGGAGAGATAGTTTCCAGCCTTGTAATCCAAGCTTCCTCCCCCCATGATGCATGTGTTGGGGCAGTTGACTCCACTGCCGTATTCATCACTTCCATCACAGCAATCTGCAAACGAAATCCAAATGGAACCCACTCAAGTAAATTTTTGCTCAGTTGAAAGGATGATGAAGGGCCTTGGACGTTGAGAGCAGTAACTAAGAGAGCAAAGCCTAATAATAGATACACTCCAGAATCACATAACTGCATCTACTATAAACAAATGAGGATGAACAGCAAGCATGCGTCATTGAGTATTCCATACCACAAACTTGATCGTTTACACGAGAAGAGAATATAAACATGGGAGTACTTCCTACATTCCTGCAGTAAAATTTTCCTCTAGGACAAGCTGAAGTCCCTGCAACCACAGACAAAACGATAACACGATCAAAATGATTGCCCAGGAACAAAGGGCAATATCTAAAAAAAAACGCAAGTGAGGCAGCACCTAACTCAGTCAAGAAAAAGTAAAGAGCCAAATGCGATAACTATTCCAAAGAATCGACCAATTTGAACAAACGAAAAGAAAACCCAAAAAATATGTTCACCTGGCTCGTCGGTCCCGTCGACGCAATCGCAGAAATCATCATTGAGCCGGTCCCTGGAGAAAGAATCGGATCCGTCTTTGCATTTGATGACCGCCAAAGCAAAGTACCGCTCATCTGCAGGGCTACAAGAACGAATCAAATCATCATAATAATCAAAAGCAGAATCGACCGATTTAGGTTTCTGAGAAGCAGAGGAAACGGAGGCGGACACCTAAAGGATGGACGCCGAGAAGCGTCGGCAGCGAGCGGACGGCGGAGGAGGGGGCGAGGAAATGGAAGTAGCAGAGAAAGGATGCAATGAACGCGCCCCGGAGATAACAGCGACCCGACTCCATGAATCGCGGGGAAATTCCCCGTTTCAGAGGAGGTGGGCGTGGGTGCGGTGCGGGGAACAGGGATTAAATCCGTAGACCACAAAGTGATCAGTTAATCAGTTGGGTTGGAAACGGAAATCTTGAAGCTGGACGACGACTCCAACGCTTCTTACTCCATGTGTTGAACCCTACCCAGGAGTTCGGTTCGGCAAGAACCGTCGCCATCGTCATTGGAGGGCGGAGGGAGGTAAATTACCAAATCACCACTCGGTTGCCTCACGAATTATAACTTATTTTGTCGAGCCAATATCCGTCCTGCCGGTTCAACCTGGTCCGATCAAAGTCGATCATACAAAGGATTGAAATACGCTTTAGTTGGATGGTTCCTGAAAAAAGTCAAAACCTGGTTAAACTAGTCAAAACCCTCTGGTCTAATCGGGTTTCAAAATGAAGATTAATAATTTGCAATCTTGTCAAAATCAAACCGACCGACCAACCGAAATAGTAATTGGTTACCAATTTATGGTTTAAACGTTATTAAGCCGTTAAAAATCGTTAATGAAACGTGTTTCAAAAACAAGAATATTATTACTTTTACTAACAATTCTATTAAAAACTAGGTAAATACAATTTATTGTGACTAGCGTCCTCGCGGTCAACTCTCAGTTCGGGATACTTCCGAAGTTTACAATCCACGAGATGCTAACACCATGGACTAATATTATGTCCACAGTTGGAGTCAAGTTTCATTGCGGCCACTCAATGTCACGTACAAAGGAGAATCTTTATCAACATCAATTAAAGTCCTAGCATTGAAGACAGTCATGACCTCCCATCGTTGTCCTTTCAACAGCTAGTGTTGGGGAGATGGAAAAGATTTCGTCAACAAAGTTTGTCAAGTAAAAAATCGAGGCAATCACGATCAAAAAGCGACCATCCCCTTCACGTTCAGAATTGGTCAATTTTGAGTCTTCGCCATTAAACTTTCAAGTTGGTCATTCACACCGTTCATGCTCTAGTTTGAGGGACAGAACAGGGAATCAACATACTTCGCCAGTCGACTAGCTCAATCGTCAAGTCAACCTCAATGTACCAAGTGAGATCAAGTGATAAAGAGACGCAGTCAACCGTCTCTGTCACGACGTTTAAGAAGACGTAGTCAACCATCTTCGTAAGGTTGTTCATAGAGAGAGTCAGTCGTCTCCAAATCAACCTCGTCTGAGATGACATTCATCTTGTGTTTTATTGTACAAGTTTGTCATGCTTGTTCTTCACACTTCCTTTTGAAGCTTGACATTCTTGTTATTCTTGTCTTCGCTTGAGGGGGGGAGTGTTGCAGTTACTTATAACTGTGTGATTATTGGGAGTTTGGGACTTGTTGGGCCTTGTCCGAGTTGTAGTAGGTTTGGATACTTGGTTGTACTTGACCTTCTCGTTAGGGTTTTAATCTTAAGTCTTTCTCTATAAAAGTTAAGCTACAGTTTGTCGTAAGCAAGTTGTCAAGTTGCAATCCTAATAAGATATCAGTCGTGAGCTCTTCAGAGCTCACTGGGGATACCACGTAAAATATCACGTCTTGTGTTGAATTCGAAGGGACTTTGTAAGCAGGGTGCGAATGAGTAATTTTCTTAATTGGGTTGTGATTAAAAAAATGGTAAACAAAATTAATACTAAATGAGGGCATTTTGGTCATTTCCAACTCACTAAACGATTGACTAACGGATAATTAGATAGTAGGGTATATTTGTTACGTTTTAATATTCAAATGATATGTTGGTACAAAAATTTAGTAAAAAGATACGGTTTGTTAATTTGTAATAGTAAATGAATATTAAGTATTCTGTTAACCCTAAAAAAATAGTGAAGACCCTTTTGATGAATATAAACTACAAATGTAGTATATAGATACACTTCCCTAAATCGTCTAGATATACTTAATTAAGGGACAATTATGTGGAGCTAACTCTTTTAATACCCTACACAGAGCACCTATTTCCTTTATAATGTCAAACTCTCCACGTAATAAACAGATTATTAAAAGAGAAGAAACGAAAACTATCCATGTATACGTTAAATACTTAATTAAAAATTAAATAAACTTGATAAATCATATTAGCATATAAAATATTGGGTCTTGTTCTTGCTATGCACTACCTAAAACCCTAATCCAACCCTTCTCGAAAACCATTTATTTAATTTACATTTATAAATGTCTTACAATTCAGATCAACTATCAATCTTGTTTTTCTTCTCCTTGTTCTCTCCTGCTCAACCTATATTATTTATACAAACTAGTAGTCTTTTAATCCTTTTGCACTCTCCTTTAAACAAAGTATTCATGCCAAGGTAACCTTTTTCGGTCTCAATTTTCTTCATCTTCTCCGCTCTCTCTGTAAATCTAACCTAGCTAGCGCAAGTTTCGGCTTGCGTGATTTTCTTGCAATGCAAGATCCTCTCTTTTCTTTTTTACCATTTAACCTTTCTTACTATTATTATTATTATTATTCGTGGCATTAGTTTAGGTTTTAATTATTCTTTTTTGGCGGAGTGGAATAATTCATGAATTTTGTCTCCCGATTAATTAAGGATGCAGAGAAAAGACACAATCCCTAGCGACGGCGACGGCGACTCAGCCGTCGCTGCAGCCAACGGCGGCGGTGGGGGAGGGAGCCACCCGGCCTGCGCGTCGTGCAAGCACCAGAGGAAAAAGTGCGCGGAGGACTGCATCCTGGCGGCGGTGTTTCCGGCGGAGAAGACGCGGGAGTTCCAGGCGGTGCACAAGGTGTTCGGCGTGAGCAACGTGATCAAGATGATGCGGCGCGTGGAGGCACGGGACAGGGAGCGGGTGGCGGAGTCGCTGATCTGGGAGGCGGCGTCGAGGGAAAACGACCCCGTTTTGGGCGCCCTGCGGCAGTTCCAGCGGCTGCAGGAGGAGAAGCAGCAGCTGGAGAAGGAGCTCGGCCTCTACAAGTGCCTACCTCACCACAACGGCCATCAGATGGTCCGGCCGCAAGGCCACGGCGCCGGCGTGATGTACAACAAGCAAGCCCCCTCACAGCCGCCGCCGCCGCCGCTGCCGGGTTCTTGGAGTACTAACGGTGTCAGTGGCAACGGCAAGGTTGTGAATGGCAATGGGCATACCAACAATATATTGCAAGGGAGTTTTCCCACTATGCATAACACTAACAATAATAATAATAATAGTAGTAGTAATCATCACGGGAAGATGATTAACAACAATAATAAAGTGGAGGAACCCGCCGCTGTTAGTTCGTTTAAGACTCGACAATCACCGCAGCAGCATCTTCTGCACCATCAGCAGCCGCCGCAGTTCCATCACCCTCAATTCTACCAGCTAGACCTTCCTGTTCCAGGTAATTAACCAGCTCCACAAGATACTAATTAATCATGTTTTGGGTCTATATGGTTTTGAATGATATTATATATTGTTGATTGTCTGTTCACGATCACGTGGGTTATACGTCAGGCCACTTTGCTGCATATAATTTTAACGGCGGCCAAGCCATGGAGAATAATCCATAGGAGGGGATCGACGATATATAAGAAGGAAGATGATGACATGATAATGTTTGGTTGTCTTCATTTGCCCAAGAGATGTCGGGCTTTTGGCCGATGTATGTGTAATATATAATCCTCGTGGAGCTAGCTATTGCTATAATTAAGTAGATGGCAGGAAGGAGCCAAATTAAATTAGGATGTCAGCTTATGTTATGTATATGGCTTTCCTATGTTGAAAGTGACTAATGTACGTAGCAAATTGGCTGCAAGAAAAGTTTGCTGGTTTGGTTGTCCTTTTCTTTTCACCCTTTTTGTGGCTAATTAGCACTCTCGTAATATAGTTGGCACGTGTAACATATTCTGTGCACGCACTACATGGGAGCGGAGTGATTGAAAGAGAGTAAGAGTTGATCCGAGCCAAGTTTGATGTTTAGTTTTGTCAATAAATTAGTTGAGGTCGAGCTCGATTTGTCTATTGAAATTAAACGTCTATTAATTTATAAACTCAGTTCGAGCTCATCTCAATTATCATTTTAAATAATTACACTCCAAAATTAAACTCTAAAATAATTTATAAATTAAATATCATAATATTTTTATTTAATATATGATATAAGTGATTAATGTCATGATATAAAAAGAATAATAGTGAATTTTTTAAGTTTTTTACAAGAATATTGTTTTTTATTTTTATAACAATTACCTTAAATATAGCATGCCTGAAAATGATTTCGGATCTATGATCCATCTAAAACAATTGGGACGTGCATGCCCGAATTGGGTTTGATGGCAAAAATTAAGTTGGCGTCCTCGCCCTAAATGTTGTTATCGCGTTCCCTCACCACTTATTGCCCTATTCTTCTTCATCGAGAAATCAAATCCCCTTCCCCCATGATTTATCTTTCTTCCGAAGCCACTGTCAAATCAATACAAACTATCGGAGTTGAAATATCCACAGGGAGGTGGACATGATTGTTGCGATATTTGGGGTGCGGACACACCAATTGGGCTTGTCCTCGCCCATATTAGCTTATTTTTTGCCACCAAACTGTATTCGGGCGTGCACAATTGCTTCATATGCCACCAAAAAGTAATATTTTTTAAAAATCCCAATTTTTTTATCATAAATCAATCCATTGTGTACTTTTTTTTATTATAATCTTAGTTTGTTCACAAATTTTGACTAGTTCATGCCATGTTATTTTATATCAATTAGTATTGAAGCAATCTATGACTGCTATTACCATTTAAATAAAAATAAGACATGTTTGATCACGTACTCAAAGTTTTAAACATAATATATGACCAGACATATAATCTTACAAACCTATGAATTATCAATAAGTCAACTCATAAGCTATAGCTCGACTCACTAATAAGTCGCTAGTTGACCTGGCTCACTAGCCACTCTGTGAACCAATTCATGAGCTTAAAATGACCCAACTCGAGAATTCAGCTCAACAAACCACTGATACGAGCTAATTCATGAGCCTTTGAAGCTGAGTCAAGCTCAGTTCATTAGGAAACTAGTAGAGTGTTTGTCGATGAAGAATAGTTTTGAAAGGTAAATGAAGTCTAAAATATACCATATTAGTAGGAAAAGCCTAGCAAAAGGTATTTAAAAATAAGCTTTTTCTGACCCAAAGCTACAGTCCATGGGGTTACACATTTTTGTGGAAGGGGAACCTGAGTGACCTCTAAATCTCACACGTGTGCGTCCTTTAGTGGGTTGGGTCAGGTTTGGAAAATTTTTTGGAGATGATTTATTTTGATTCGACGATGACGAGGAAGAGCCGAGATGAATGGCTGGGTCATAAAGTTAACTAGAACCATGGTGAGGTATGGAATTCTGTGAATCAAAAAGCCTCGATTTCGTTGTTGAAGAACACTGCCCTAGTTTTGATGATATTGGAGTTTTAGCAGCCTTCTTTCGACCCAATTTGGGAAGGATTCTGTGAAGAATTTGAGAAGAGGAAGGAACAAGCTTTGAGGGCAAAGCTTTTTAAAGAGGGGGAGCCTTGCTCATTTTTCAAGTAGGATTACTTGCCAAAGAAGTTATCTCAACTCATATGAAAAACTGCTTGAAAATGGCTAAGTCTGAAATGTGACTATGAAGCCTACTTTAAAGCCTCATTCGAGGAAAAGATTGAGAATCGAGTCAGGAGCTTCATACCACATGAAAGTACGTATGTTAATCTAGAAAGACAAGGCATTGGATGAAGGAGTGTTGACCTCTAAGGCTTCGAACAAAGAGCTCAAAGTAGCTCTGGAGCCTGTTTTGAAGGCAGCTTGCTTATGCTAGAAGAAAAGGAAGCTTGGACGAGTTTGGATTCCTTTTCCAGTTTGGATTCCAGTTTGGATTCTTACCTTATTTGTAATATGGTTCAATTATGTTTTCTTTTTTCTATTTGTAGTTGAATGAGGTTTTAGTTTGTCTATTTAAAGCTTAGAAACTCACGTTGTATTCATTAGAGTTTAATCGAAAGAACCTATGTTCATTGAGTGTTTTTGCTCTTCAATTGACCTTGTTGTGTGGATTGATTCCAACGATGAGAAAGCTCTGTATTGATTGGGTTACCACCTCAATCGTGGTCAAGTTGCGTCTTTATTTGGATCGAGCATCTTCCCCAGAATTGGTGTTGAAGTTGCACGTTCCAACTCCATCCTTTTCACTCTGTTTTTTCCCTTTTTCATTCCGTTTTCATCCAGCAAGTTTGAGGATTTGTGGGGAAAAGCCTCGAGATTTAGGCTTATCAAGTGTCATCATCGCCTGGCTCAACACAGTGGCATGTTCAAAGGCAAGAGGACCTGTAGCGGCGCGTACTAGATCAAAAGACCCAATCGAAAAACATAAGGCAGAGTCAAAATCTGAGTCTTAAGAGGAAACTCCGATCGTCGAGCAAACCATGGCGGAGCAACAGGTCAACATGACTAAACTTCTTCAGACCCTTACTTTCCATCTAAATGTAGTGTTCCAGACCCAATTTGATCAGATTAATCAACGATTGGGTGCTCTATCACCACCAGTGAACCCCTCTACATAATAGGGCACTTCGACAGCGCCTAATGGGACTCCAATGACAAATCGAAACAACGGCTAGCCAATGGGTGCCAATCAAGACTTCAACTAGACGATTCAGAACCTGGAACGGCGGCTGGTTGCTACCAAGACTGATAAACGAATTCATCATCACGAATTTTGTGAGCACGAGTGACGACCACTAGAAACAGGGTATGGTACGGTTGTAGAGCTACGAGGAATCAAATTTTTGATTCCCTCTTTTACCGGCTCCAACAATGCGTCTAGTTATCTTGATTGGGAAAGAAAGATAGTCCTCTTTTTTCAGTGTGGACACTATACGGAGGAACAGAAAGTACAACTAGCTACGTATGAATTCTCGGATTACGCAGCGATTTGGTGGGAGCAGACTCAGCTACGACGGAGGCAAAATTTGCAGCCTCCAATAACAACATGAGACGAGCTATGAGGGTTGATGAGGGATAGGTTCATACCTGGATACTATCAGCGAGAATTATTTGAAGCTTTGCAGGGCATTCGACAAGGTACTCGATCTGTGGATGACTATTTCAAAGAACTCGAACTGCTGATGTTGCGCGCCGATGTTAAATAAGACAAGGAAGCCAGGATCTCTCGATTCCTCCATGGTCTCAATCGAGACATTAGGAACAAGATGGAGCTTTGGCAGTTCGTGGAACTTGAGGAGTTTGTCTATCTTGCGATTAAGGTGGAAAAACAAAAACGAGCAGTGCGGGAAGGAGGTACTCCTCTTCAAAACCTGTTCCAGAACATCCATCTTTGGTCAATTCTGAGCATACCTGGTTGAAGGAGTCAAACCAGCATCTCGCACTACTGCTCCGGTGAATCACGAGAAGTCGGGAAAGTCGACAAGCAGCATTCAGTGTTTTAAGTACTTAGGAAGAGGCCACAAGGCCAACTAGTGTCCAAATAAGAAGGCCTTGGTACTTCGAGATGGTGAATATGTCTCAAAAGATGAAGAAGAGGAGGACATGGACAAAAAAATTGAGTGCAATTCTGAAGTTGACGAGTCCATAGAAGTAGAAATCCCTCACTCAGGAAAATTTCTCAGGGTAAATCGTCGAATGCTTACTCTGGAATCTCGCGCTAACGAAGAGCAACGAGACAACTTGTTCCACATTTTTTGTACAATTAAGGGTAAGCTATTGTCTGTAGTAATCGACGGGGGAAGCTGTACTAACGTCGTGAGCTTGGACACCGTCAAGAAGCTCAGAGTAGGTACAATCAGGCACCCTCAACCCTACAGTCTTCATTGGCTAAATGAGTATGGCACACTCAAGGTAAACAAACAAGCCAAGGTGTGTTTCAAAATCGGCCAATATGAGGATGAGCTCTGATGTGACGTAGCTCTGATGCAAGCTACACATCTACTGTTAGGATGACCATGACACTATGATTGTGGGGTTGTTCATGAAGGGAGAGAAAACTGTTACAGGTTCATGCATGGGAATCACAAGTTTTTGCTTAAACCATTATCACCGGCTGAAGTCTGGCCCATCAGTTGCAAATGACGGTGAATCGGGCCAAAGACAAGGAAGGGTCTAGTCAATCGATTCCTAGGAAGAGTAATGAAGCGGGGATGATGACTCGTAGGTTTATGCTCACAACTCTAAGGCGAGCAGAGCTTCACCAGCAGCCAGAGAGCTGGCGACTCTATTCTTTGACGGCAGGATAGGGTAGGAGAGAGACTGAATTGGACGGAGCACTAGAGGCAGCGTCAAACTCAACCTACATCACCCGAAACCTTCCAAAGGACCCTGACACGCTACGACACAACACCTAACAATGGCCAAGTGTAACCAATGAAAGGGACTGCAATATAGTGGCACAAGTAATAAGTATCGAATCCACGGGTCTCTAGAGTTACTATTACTCAACTTCAGTTCATTATCTAGCAAACTGGATTAAGGATTGATTTACTAAACTACTCTACTAACTACTCTACTAATTATAAGTTGGGAACTCACTTAGGTATGATTCCCCCTAGCTCCTCAATTAGGTCCAATTTGCAATTACCTTTGGTTGATCTACTATTGATTAAACTGCGAAAGATCCTAAATTAACTTGGAATCTCTTAAGCTGACCAAGCCCTCTTAGACAGAATACCCAGCAGGCGACTAGCCTTCACCGGGATAGACTGCTAAGGC